CTAAATCGCAAATTGCACAATTCCAAACAAGGATAGAATCATACCAGATCACTGAATTAGTGCGAGAAAAGATAAATTCCACTCGAGACGATGAGAGAGCAGAATACCTCCATAATCGCACTGAAAAAGTTGAGAAGAATCATCGCAATTTTCATCCACAGCGAGCACAGAACAAGCTCCATCAAGAAGTGTAGAGATAAGAAAAATTCCGATGAACAGTGATCACGCGGAAGCTATTGGATCAAGAGTCGAAGCTCTGATACCATTGCCAATTGATTTTGGGGTGCAAGGGCTTAGGCTTGTTAGCCTTAAAGTTAGACGTGATTGAATGTTGTATCTGTATATATACTTTGTTCTGTTGATATGAGAAAAATACAAGAAAATATTCATCCAATTGTTCATCGTCTGTTCTATAACCCTTAACCCTACTTTGGTTTTCTTAAGAAAGGTGCCATGGAAACTGTTGTTCTTGAATTGCAGCTCTACAAGAAACGAGAGGTTGCCTAAGTGTGGTGGAATGGTGCCGATGAGTCCCATGAAAGAGAAGTTCAAGACTGAAACTCTAAGATGGTGAGCACCACAGGTAACGCCAACCCAGTTGCAGACGGAGGTGGTTGTTGACCAGTTGACCAAGATGTTGTGAGGGTCACTAGTGATATGGGATCTCAGAGCAAGAAGAGCAGACTGGTCGGTGGTGATGTTGGTTTGTGCTGCACCTGTGCCTACATAAATGTAGTGCAGCACCAGCAACAACGTTATTGAAAAGAGGAAACGACTTGTCTCCATGAGCACCGAAAGCAGAGAAGTTCCAACTTCAAAGTGTTTTTCCTTTTCTTTTCTTTTTGTTTTCTCCCACGATTGAAAACTTGAAATGATTGAGTAATTTGTTGCAGTGCCAATTTATGGAGGTGGAACAAGTTGCCAAAAGAGTGGGGAACATGATTGCACCCTCGGGGAAGAAATTCGCAAGTAGCCAAATGCAACGACTTAGACTTGTAATGAAGGAAGAATGGACAATTGGGCATCTGTTTCTACGCACCATCATAAATGTAGAAGGGCTTGCTATACATATTTGTCTCTATATATTCCGCCAATCAAATATGGATGGTCTTGGTCATATGAATAATATATAATAATTTAGAAAAATTGAGAGAAGTTGACAAGTTAAAGTCACTAGAAACATCCTACTAATTATATAATGTATTATAACTAGAGAAATCTAGAATTAGAAGACAACTTGTGGCTGAAAATAACTTTGGAAAAGTCGGATACTGTGCCCAAAGCAAAGTTGCCGACTTAGGGCCAATTTGGCATTGCTGTGCTGTGAAAATAATCGCTGTCAAATTTGCTGTGAGAGAAATCAGCTGTTGGAGAAAGCAGTTTGGCGTTTGGTAAACTTTTAGTTAAAAGTGTTGTTGGTATTGATTTCCTCATAATCAGAAAATGATTGTGGCGTAATCATTAAACCCAACACCTCTTCAAAACTTATTCCTGCATAATCAGAAAATGAAAGCACCTCATTAGCTGCTTTCCCTTATAGCTTTCTCTCACAGCAATTTTTAACAATAAGTGATTTTCTCACAGTTTACCAAACGGGTTGGACTTCCCAAAATTTTTGAAAAATCACTTATCACCCTAAATAAGCAATGCCAAACGGGCACTTAGTATTCTTATAAGGGGAATGCTAGCAACATTTTCTCCAACCTTCTCTTTTGGACCTTCTCCCTTCTTCTAATGACATGTGTCTCCTTCCTTACACTTAAAACAATGTAATTAATGCATCAAACAAGCTAATATTTGTTTTCCAAATTTATCCTTACTAAATATATTAATATTAATGTTTCCTTTAATTTATCAAAAAAAATTTACAAACTTTTTACCACCTTGTTAAAAATTAATTAAGAAAAAACATTTTTTCTTAAACACTCTAAAAGCAACGAGACATTCAATAAGACTTAAAAATTAAATAAGAAAAAATGTTTGTTTTATTTTTTGTTTTCTAAAAGACTCCAAGAGGAGTTAGGAGAGACATTGGTTTAAATTGAAATTTTGGTATGCCAGAATTTTAGGAATTGTTTTTTCAAATAATCAGACTCCAAGGGCAGTAAGGGATATAAATTAATATAAATAAAACTATGAACTTCCTTTGGAATCTAATTATTGGGGTTTTTTAAAATATTTTTAGTTGTTATTGAAAATGCTCTTTAACTTTATTCAGTAGTATTAAAAAAAAAAAAAAGGAAATTAATGAACTTCCTTTGAAGGACGCCTTTTCTGTATAAAAAAGAGATCTTTCTTTAAAAAATAGACGTTTTATCTCTATTAAAAAAATAGACATTTTCTTTTTAAAAAACTGATATTTTTTATTATTTAATTTTTTACATGTGGTAAGAAGGTTGAAAAATTGTTTTTGAACAAATTGAAGGAGAATACCATTTAATAAGGGGTAAACTTGGAAAACAAATGTTATCTTATTTAATGCATTAGTTACATTGTTTTAAGTATAAGGAAAGAGACACATGTCATTAGGAGAATGGAGAATGTCCAAAAGAGAAGGTTGGAGAGAAGGTTGCTAGCATTCCCCTTCTTATAAATAGCCCACATCCTCTCAAAGTACTTAAGCTAAAAAACTATAGCTGTCCAACTCTAGCCATCAGCCAACTCAAGTATTAAAGCCTTGTATCTTTCCTATTTCAATCAATAGAATAAAACTACTTTGTTACTCTTTCAAAAGTTTTCCTTTCCAAGTTAAGCTAATTGTCCTAAACACTACCAACCATTCTCTAAACTTCTTCTCCCTTAAGAGCACTTCCAGCAGTTTGCCCCTTGCCATGGCAAGGGGGGTGGGGCTAGGGCAGCTACTATTCATGTGAATAGTGGCTGG